TTTCGTCTACTTTTTTGCCCGATAAAGGTTTTGGTACTCGTAGCATTGTCCATCATCATATCGCCACGAGATGATCGAAAATGGAAGCATCTCAATTTCTGACAACGATTTCTGGAGTTGATCGATTGTAACCTGAGCTACGATCTCGAAGATTTGCCGATAGTGTTTAACAAATTTTCTTGATCTTTAGAAGTTCTTATTTTCAGGCTACTCAACACAATGTTCCATTAAATAAGCTTCAATGCTAGTATAGCTATTTATCTTCATTTACCAACTTTTTTTCCCCTTGAGAACTATAACCAAGAACAAAGGAACACACCAATATATATATNNTTTTTTTTTTTTTTTTTTTTCTAAGAATGTAATATTCAATTAGACACTTGACAAAATCAAGACTCACCATGTGACCCCAAACTTCATTATTGTACAATCTCCTACATTTGTAGCAAGCAAATTTATTCACCAGGGATAACATTAACCAAATAGAGGAAAAAAATATCAGTACGGATTGATTAATTTGTCCGCACGCCGAGCGACTGTTGGATCAGATTTTCTAGTCGCAACGCATCTAACACAGGTTCGAGATTTTCAGTTGCTAGTTTTTATACCAACTCCAACTCGCGAGCCTCTTAGTTTCTACGTCAAAATTTCGATGTTACCAGTGACAAATTTTCCTCCAGCAGTGATAGTCTCTATTGTCGAGGCTCCACCAAGACGTACAATGGTTTTGCGCCCAACAATTGCCTTTCCTTAAGCTCCGGCAATCCGATAATGCATGCACACTCAACGACCTCAGCACCTTGGCGTTCCAAAAGCCTCATGGCTGCAGATAATGTCCCTCCTGTAGCCACTAAGTCATCGATAACTAAAGCACGGTCTCCTTTTACAAGGGCTCCCACATGCATTTGCAAACAATCATTACCATACTCGAGCTCGTATGCTTCAGAAATTACTTCACCTGGATGCTTCCCGGGCTTGCGAAGAGGAATGAATTTGGCACCAATTGCTAATGCAATAGAAGGAGCGAATATAAAGCCTCTGGCTTCGGCTCCAGCAACAACAGTGATACCGATGTTCCTGTATCGATCAACAAAGATATCTACAGTGTGCTTGAAGGCCATATGATTTGAGACAAGAGTAGTTATGTCTTGAAATATAATCCCTGATTTAGGAAAGTTGGGCACAACACTAATGGCATCATAAATGTCCTTCAACCTTGGGTCACCCCTTAAACCATTCTCAGCTGCAAACATCTTCTCTAAACAAAATAAAAGTAATCTTTTTTCCTCAAAGATCTCTTTTCAGACAAGAAAAGAAAAAGCAAAAATCTTGTTTTCAAGTAAAATTCCTTCCAAGAATTGCTGTTTTAAGAGATTATCTATAAGTTGGTTGGTGGATAAAAGCTCCACTGAGAGAAGGAACACACCAAAATTTAATGACAAAGGACTGTGTGAACAATTAATCATCACAAATTATACATAAGACCACATACTTTACCTCCTATTCTCTTCCTGGAGACCAAAAATACATCTCCTTTACACAAACAACCGGAAAATCCCTCCTTCAAAAGAGAAAAAGAGAAAAAAAAAACAACAACAACAACATACCCAATATATTCCCAAACATGTTGGGGTCTGGGGGTCAGTTGTACGCAGACCTTACCCTAATTATACAAGGAGGTTCCACAAGCCTCACCGGCCGACTGGTACACGCCTTTCCCGCCTCAAACTAGGTTTCACCTTCATCACACATCTAACCCTCTCCTCAATACCATCTTCAATCTCTCCACACAACCTTTCATTCAACAAACCCATTTTCCCTTCCGAACCCAATGCCCCACGAACCAACTCATACGTATACTCTCTCGGCACCGACCCTCCCTCCACCAACTCCGCCAGGAAAGCCGCCGCTTCCTCCACCCTCCCCACCTCACACAAACCATGAATAATTGGCGTGTATGAGCTTGAACTCGGCACCCCATGATTCCTCTCCTTCATCCTCCTCAACATCTCAATTGCCCGGTCCACCTCGTTCACAGCACTAAAATACCTTATGAACGAGTTGTAAGTAACTCGGTTAGGCTCACATTCTCTTTTACACATTTCGTCGAACAGCTCCAGTGCCCGGCCAATCCTGTTCGTCTTACAACACCCATTGATCAAGCAATTGTAGGTCACCACATCCGGCGAGAATCCCCGGAAGAGCATCAGCCGGAACAAATGGTTCGCCTCCCAAACCCGCCGCCGGATAGCCTTCCGGGAGGCGGTGGCCAGCGCGTGGCGGCAGTAGGAGCCGATGAGGATCGTGTAGGTGAAGACGTCCGGCGGGCATTTGAACCCGGGAAGATTCATCTGCTCGAAAATGGATTTTGCCTTGTTGAAGAACCCGACCCTGCAGAGTGCTTGAATCACGGTGTTGTAGGCGCGGACGTCCAGCGAGCAGTGGAACTGCTTCATCCTGTAGAAGGCGGAGAGGGCCTCGTTCGCCAGCCCCTCGTCGCCTAGGGTTTTGACGAGGCAGGTCATGGTGGAGGTGGTGACGAGGGCACGATTCTCGTGCCGCCTCGACATGTTCTTGAGGAAATCCCAGAGAAGGTTCATTCGATTGCCCCTGGCGAGGACAATCGCCATCTCGCGGCAGGTCCGGTCGTCGTGCCGGAAACCGAACCGGTTCTCGACCCAGTAGAAGAACTCTAGCGCCTTCTCGAGCCCGAGATTCAGGAGCTTGGGGTCTCTGTGGGCCGCGGGGCCGAGGATTAGGGAGCCTGTTTTGCGCTTGGTTGTTTCCTGCTTGAGGTTTCTCTGACGGATGGGGGAACGGTGGCGGTGGGTTTTCTGGCGGCCGATGGATCTCGGCGACTGGAAGAGGTATAGAGGGATTGATCTCAGGACCTGAGAGACGTTTTCTGATGTCCAAACGCGGGTTTGGTTGTGGTGGGTAGGAGCGGAGTCGAGAGGCCTGTTTTGAAGGACGGCGGCGAGAATCTGGCCGGTCAGGCGGTCGGTTGCGGTGGAGAAGCGGCGGCAGAGCGGTGGCGATGAGAACATGGAGACGACTGAATGAAAGGACATGTAATTGTGGTGAGTGTGGACTCCATTTAAGGCCCAGACCACTTTTATTTCTGATTTGGGTCAGTCCAAGTTCGGCCTCATACATAGATAGCCCACTGGTCCTCCAACAATGGTCACCCCATGTTAAATAAATGAGAAAATTACTCAAAACACCATACATTACACTTTTTATTACACAATTAATATCAATATATAAATAATAGCAATATTAAACAAATTATACTATTTATTTGCAAATATGCCACAAAAGTAACTATATCAGATTTTTTGAACAAATCACAAAATCATTACCAATATATATGGAAAGAGAATAAGTACACGAAACGGACCCCGATAAAAAGGTAATGGAGCTTTAAATTCTCTCTCCCACTAGTAAACCATCGTCTGCTTCAACCGTGAATTTCACCACAAAACCATATATCCTCTTAAGCTCCACAACAATGGCAAATACCAAATTTGGAAGAAGCCCATCCATCGGAGACAGAAATTCACCACATCGGAGGTCGAGTTCCCGTCTAAGGAATATGAAATCAAACAGGCACCCAACCCTTGTACAAAAGAAATTGCAGTTCGACAATGAAGTCACCGTATTTCGATTTCGAGGATGAAATTCAAGCCGAAGTGAGTGATAGCGAAGAATGTTCGGTCGATGAAGAAGAAGACGAGAAACTAATTAAAGATAAATCCAAGAAACACAAAATTCACTTACCAATAACATGCATGTTTTAATTCTACAACGTGTTTTATGGATTCATATACTCGAACATATACAAAACATATAACTGATTTCACTTACCAATATATGTTTTACCATAACATATAGTCATATACAAAACATATACTAGAAATTAAATATACACTTACCTTAGCTACAACTTGTTTTATGGATTCATGACCGTCTGAAACGATGCACAACCAATATATGTTCTAACTTACCTTAGAAATATATGTTTTAACTGATTTCACTTGTCAATATATGTTTTACCATAACATATACAAAACATATACTAGAAATATACACTTACCTTAGCTACAACGTGTTTTATGGATTCATGACGGTCTGAAACATGTCGGTTTACATGTCTTAATATCAGGATATATTTACATGTCGGTTTTTAATTCTTTTAATTTGGCATGAAAATCGGCCCCATAAATTAAGGATAGGTTACAACTTTCCAGATTTGATAACTGCATCTTAGCATTTTGGTAATTATTTCTACCCAATTTTGTAGGGATGCAATACAATAACACATCCTTGTATTTTTACAAATACTTTTGTTTCGTTCAGTATACTTAAAAATTAGCCTAAATAAATTGTCTCCTGTGTTCATTTTACTTTCTCCATTTGTCCTGCCAACATAATTATAATTATTTTATTAAAAATAGAACTACTGCACATTTTATATAATAATTTGCTATTCATTCATTTATATATTTATAGTTACCAATAATTATTTTACTACCTCTACCATATCAAATTTAACTATTGGATTTTATGTCACACCATTTTATTATATAAAAACGACTACTATTTCTTTCTCTAAATATATATATTCTTTTTTCTATTATAAATTCGACCAAATTGTGGACTATTTCTTATGTTAGGGAATTGAAACTCACCTAGAGTTTGACCAGCCAAATTCTCTAACTAGCATGTTTGTAAAGAGTTGATCAGATTAGGCATTGCCCATCATTTTATTTATAATTTAAAATTTTTGTTTCTTAGTTAAGCTATGTAATATATATCATAATTATCTTAATTATTTTGAAGAAAAAATAAACTAATTAAATTGATGGGAGTTGGGTTGTATAAGAGCATCTCCAGTGATGCGCTACTCTAGCGTATTACGTTAGAGTAGAGACAAAATTGTTCTCCAACGCTGCGTTACATCTCTGCACTACTCTAGAATTATGAACAGTACCGCGCTACATCTGACGCGGTACTATTCATTACTCAACAATTTTTATTTGTTTTTTTATTTTTTTTATAATATGCAATTGATTTATCTTAAAATTCATCATTTGACAAAGTTTTTACCATTAAATTTATAATTTAATTTGAGAATTATATAAAAATATTATTATTAAAAAATGTATTTTTATATTGAATTACTATAAAATAAATCAAATATTATATAAAAATAATAATTCTTTTTGGCAATATTTCAAACCATGGAAGATCAACTAATACCATAATATATTTTATTTTATAAAATAATATGTCCAATTAAATAATATTTTGACATATTAATATATGAGAATTAATATTGATATACAAATGTGTGAAAAAAATTTTATAACTGAACCCTTATAATAGTACGTTTTGTTTATTTATAAATAACATGATGTAAGACGAAATGTTTTAAACGGAAAAACTGTGACCGAAACTAAATGCGATTAGAAATGTTTTATAGACTGATATTACAATTTTCTTAAATGTTTTTAATTTAAATTTCAACTCAATTTTAATACAACCTAATCTTTTTTTATTTTTTTCAATTTAATTAAATAATATCATTCAATTATCTTCACGCATCATATAAAAAAACTTATTTATATTCATTCACTTACATATTTTTAACTATACTTCATATTAAATCACATTTCTACCACTTTTACGTCACATTTGCTTTAATCATTATATTTTAAATTTATATCTATGTGAATAAACATTTACAACCGATGACATCGATAAAACCTGCCAAAATTATGCAAACTATAATTAATAAGATTTTACATATTAATAAAATAAAAACCGAAGCATTAACGGAGTGTTAAATGCATGCATTAATCTCGGTTGTATTTTATAAAATTGTTATATGCATAAATTTTGGTGTGCATTTGCTAAACATTTGCTACAAACATATATTTTCTTGATTTTTAATTTCCATTTTTGTTAAATCATAATTCAAATTTCGATTTGTGAGAATCTCGAGGTCTTATCGGCCGTGCATAAAAAAATCGTCGAAGCATAAAAAATAGCATCTTTTTTTTATCTTAACCTGTTTTTTAAAAGGATATTGAAGAGTACAATAATGTTATTATAAATTTTCACAAGTTATTTATAGACTTCATTCTTTTTAGTAAAATATAGATATTGTTAATGAGTTTACGATGGTTAATGTTGGTAATAATAATTATCATAACTACAAATTTTTAAGATTAAAAATACTGATATTTAAAAATTAAAAAACTATCAACAAAATTGTTAATACATTTGACGGTCGACCGCCAATAGTTATGACTAGTATTTATCGGGCGGTTAAATCTGATTTATAATATATTTTATGATAGTGGTGGTTTCATTTTTGTGATGACTGTTCATGTTTTGCTAGGGTTCATTGTTGTGCTAGGACCGAAGAGGTCAAATTTATAAATAAAATGGTAAATGTATAATAAATGTCTTGTACCAGCTAGAGTCGTCGAAAGTTAGCGTCACATATATATATATATATATATATATATATATATATTTGCAAAACTCTGCTTTTGAGGATGAGACAACTCGGGCAATTGCTTTATTAGCTTTGTTGGTTTAGCGGTACATGTGACGGAGATCGCCATGCATATCTTCCAAGAAAAGATAGAAGAAAGATCGACAAGAGTCATTATCTGTCGATCATGGGGGATCGACAGACCCGAATAGTGTTGCTTTTTGGGTCGTTGGCATGTTTTATGGGTTGTTGGTGTTTTGGACTTGTATTACTTGTCTGGTTTCGTCTTGGCAGATAGGATCAGATCTTAAAGAGATTGGGTACTACATGGAGGCCTCCTAGTTCTCAGGTGTGGAGGAGATCGCCGATGCGCGCCTGGGAAGCTATTTTTAGGAGGTCAGTATAGTGAACATTCTCTAATAGAATTAAGGCAGATATTTTCTAACATGTCTTAACTTTCTTGTGTTTCACTCGTTAATGTGATCGGGCGCATTAAAAAACATGATATACTCAAATCTCTACCATGACAAGTAAGGCTTCACGTGTGCTATTATTTAAAAGCAATTCATGTTCTCCTAAAAGATTATTTTAAGATGATTTATGACTTGAGCGTAGAGGTTCTTCATCGGGAATCTCCCCCACATATTTTGCAGGTTGAGGAGGAGATCTTCGAGAATCTTCCCGACATATTTTGCAGGTTCAGGAGGAGATCTTCGAGAAGACGATAGTCTCACAACTTATCTCTGATTTATTTTCAATTCAAAGGAATTTGCTCATGGGGATAGATATCAAGGTAGG